CCAAATATAGACTTACAATCAATAGGAATATACTCAAAATCAGATATTCAACATCACATTAGAACACAACAATTCCAGGAATTATTAACACAAATGGACACAATACAAAGACAATCAATTGACCAAAACTTACGCAAACTTGCCGAAACCGCAGGATTTGCAGACATCTATACGCAAGACTATAGCGGATATTTTAAAGATATTAAAGATTATATATATCTAAACGGTGAAAAATACAGTCCCCAAGATATATCACCTATCAATATTTTTAGCTTTGTTACACTCAAGAATGAAATTCTTGATTTTCTAGGATGGCCGTACTACATCTTAGAAAAACTAACTATTTTATACGCAATGTTTAACTTTATTGGATTTCTTTTTTCACTCTTAAAAGGAATCTATAACACATGTGCTATACACACACAAGTCAATAGACAAGCAAGTGTAGCACGCATACTATTTGCAGGATTTTTTGGAATATTTTCTACATCTATAAACAAAATTCTTTTAGACGCACAAATAAAAGAATATAACACAAAAATAGCAACAAGACAGAACACATACGACGAAGAACATAACAATGCAGACACAACACCAACAGCACCACAGTTACCACCCCTACCACATAACCATCCATTATCTCTAGTCCCACGTAATTTTCGAAATTTAGCCATAACACATAATAATTTTAGACCAACCATATCACAAAGTCCCATCCAACATATAATGCCACACCACTCACAAGATGAAAATACTTATGAACAAATTATAGAACAACCCCATACCACCGCTTTTCAGTCTCAAAATAACAATTTTTTTAGCCCACGATGAGCCGACAACTTGGATCCCTACACCGATCAAATTCCCACCCAACCAACCTCACCACTCCAATCCCAATAATACCACTTTTTGCTTTTCCGCCACCCGATTTCCCATCCAGTAATGTAACATCCGGCATGAATTCCGATACTAATTCACACATCTCAGTTTTATACTCCATCTCACAACTCAATAACCCGAATATTGAAACCCCCGATGAATTTGCCGACTCTGAACCATCTCCATCAAATAATTTTCACAGCAATCCCTTAAATTTTTCCCAACCCCCTTTTCAACCCATACTACCAAATAACCCTGACCCAACCAATTCTACACCCTCTTATGCTTCCCAAGTCACTCCAACCTACTCCTCACTTCACTCAAACCAATCATCTCATTCTTCAGACACCCCCCGAATCTCCCCAGAACTAGATAATTTCATTACCCTACAACAACAATCCTATCACCTTGACACCCCAACCATAAACCAAATCTCATCCACAATAGATTCATCCAACCCTCCTACCCCTACACCCTCTTCAATTTATACTGATTCATTAGCACCATCATCCACAACTACTGTATCTTCACTCAACACTAATAGAGCTTACCGCACTTTTAAAAGGAAGTTCCCCAACCATCCTTTCCCAGCGAAACCAGGAACAGCCCGTGAATACATCAACCATCCACAACACACTAACACAAAAGAATTTTTAGCTATCACCTTACCCTCATTTCCACAATACACCTTAAACACCCCTCATGACACTAACGAGACACGTAACTTTGTAGACGAATACGTTTTAATGCCTACCCTTCCTTGGACCTCATATTATCATTTTACAAATCCCCTTTGCTTACCTTTATCTAACACTCATATCGATATAGAACGAAATAAGGACATGCTATATCGACTCACTACACCACTAACACCTAGACAATTTACTTACATTGGATACAAAAAATCACTAAAAACACACACTGCACCCCGAGCTAATGAATATACACTAGAATATTACGATCATAACATCATCAGAACTAACCAAGATCAATTCTTAGACGACGATCGCTTCGCTAACACACAAATCACCGAGAAATTTTTCATTAAAACACCATATGTATTTACACTAAATATCTTCGATCGCAAGTTTGACCACATTATCTCAGAAGCACTAACAGACACGCAAGCCTACGAAAGTTTTAAAGAACGCTTCCAAATCTTTTCACTAACCTTTCATTTCCTTGCACCACATGAAAGAGATTTGCACTGCTCACACGATATTATGTTGCGCACTAAACAAACACACACATATACTTATTATCGTTTCATCCAAAATCACTTTGACCTACACACTCCCTCCAGACAACCACACCATCGTTTTCAATTCATCAATTCCAAATACACCTCACCATTCTTTCTTAACTTCACATATTGCATTAAAGATACTAACCTTCATGGTATTCTTCGAAATTATGATCCGATAACCCAAATGTATATCTTTTGTCCCATCACCAAGACCTTCAACGCAGAAGAATCCCGACCCTTCCTCATCCCACACGAGTTTGTACAACCTATAGAAATCCCCATTTTAGAATTCATCCATAACACTAAATTCAACCACAAATTATATAATCTAATCCAAAACACACCTTATGAATTTGCAGTTGGCACTGAAGAACTAACCACCATTAAGGCACTTCAATTGCTTTGGCCACTGCTTCAAACTAAAAATATCATCCGCATATTAGCCAAACTACTAACAACTTCAGATCTCATCCACGACATTTTCCCCCACGGTTTCTTCCCCGACGACTAACAGGTAAGTATGAATTATACATATTACTAATTAATTCAAATATTAGAAACTCACCATTCTTTATCCATGTTTTCTTTAGAATTTTAGCCTTCATCCTAGATCATCTGAAAAATTCACAAAAGAAAAATAAAAAATAGCAAACTTCTTCAAAACTGTTTAAGACCCTATTAAATTTTTGCACCAACAATTAAATAAATATAATACCAATGCAGTAAATTAATTTATAAATTTTTCCCCCACCAGCAGTAAATCTAATAACGATGAAAATTTGTAACTTAATTTCCCCCAACAACTAGCAGTAAAATTAAAATTCTATGTAGTAAATTCATAAGAAGCAAAAGCAGTACTAACCTTTTGATATTTTCATTCACTCGCACAAGAATTCTATCCAAACTTGCACAGCTCGCCCACGAAGAATTGTTTAAAATAATGAATTTCAGTTTCAAGCTTTCACACTCGATAACTCTAACACAGATAACACGTTTCAAACTTTCCTTTAACCCGGTTGGAAAGGAATTATATACTAAACAAAACTAACCAATGCAGCTTACTAAACACCACAACACATAGCATAACAGCATGACTAAGAAAAGGAAACCAACGGTACCCAAACCGGATTAACCCAGTTTAAAACTGGATAATTTATTCTTTTGAAGACTATTATAAAGTCTAAGAAAGAAATAATAAAACACAAAAAAGTCGAAAGACAAACCCATACCACAAACAATTTGATTTTTGAAAAAAGGACACAACCAACAAAACATAAGAAAAACCACAACAAACCCAACATAAAACGTTGTCACATAACAGGACCTCTCACAAAAACCGCATGCAATCATACTCCCACTCCTGTCCTAACCCACCAGGAAGGACGTCCTGAGCATGCTCTATAGCCGGCCTAACCCACCGTGCTACATCCACGCTTTGTGACCACACTCCTATTTTTAATAAGAGCTACTCAAGGGTGAGTAACTCTTCAAAATAACTGAACTAAAACAAAAAGCTTTTGTGAAAACAACTAACTAAAATCATAATTAAAAAATATAAAACTAATAAAAGTTTTATAAAATGTAAATTACATTATGCAATACATAGATCAGAATACAACACCAAGGACGAACATCCAAAGACAAAATGACCCTACTACACTCGAGAAAGAATGGCCAACTACAATCAATATGCCGCCCACAATCACAACTCAAAGGATTTAGAGTACGACTTGACTTCGCAGAAAAGGACTTCATTGAACTAGACCAATGACCACCTCGATGTTCAAGTATACGTACAGATCCGAGTAACCAGGCATCCCCCCCACGCACAACCTCCACGCCATTCCCAGACAAGGTCAAACACAAAGAAGTTCTCACCAATGAAACAGAAAAACCTGACATAGCCAACCATTCTGAAATCAGATTTGAGTTTGTTGCGAAAACCCAGTCGTTGTCTTGAGAAGACACAATGATTGAATCTGGGACTTCTCTAATAAGAAAACCCAGAAGAAATAAGATGTTCGTCAAATACCAACGTCCATCATCCATCTTTCGAATTGCAGAAAAACTATTCTAAAAAACTCTGTAAAACCCGGATGGGTGGAACCTGATCTAAACTACATTTTATGATTGGATAAATTAGATATTTTACCAATGTAAAGTATTTAATATTAACCAATCATGATCCATCTAACTAACAATCCACTTATTTGTAAGTGCTGAAATTACTTGTAATTTCAGCACCAGAGAGATTTGAATTTAACTTAGAAACTAGTTGAACTCTCCCGAGTACTTCAGCAGCCGCAATAAACCAGTATACCCTAGATCTATTGAGCCTAGCAGAGACTAGTTAAACAACCTGAGACTAGATAGTATAAGAGTAAGATTAGGATCGGTATTAGACTAAGAAGTTGCACGAATCTATCCGGCCGAAAATAAGATAGCGTGACGAGCAGACGGTGTACCCTATCCGAAATTACTCTATGAGTTATACACTTCGGTCCTAACTCACGATATCAAAATTATTACGCGATGAAGATTAAGGAGATAGAAATTTGAAATTTTACATTGAGTGATTATTCCAAATCAGCACTGTATGACAATGCTCAACGCGAAATGAAGTCAAAATTCGGCAATTGCTCTAAACGCGTGAACAAAAAACAACTCAACTTAATGAACTATATTATATCATCAGAATCTGATTAAGCTTCGCTGAATATCGCAATAACAATCGCTTCACTAATTTGAGTATAAGTCAAATGATAAAAAAATCATACGAATAACGCTGGGAAACAGTATTTTTTTTCAAAACATTCTAGATCAAATCCTTTTTGCTTATTTGGGTGGGGGGGGGGGGCTTGTTGTAACTTGTTACCTATGGCCATCCAGACGACGAATCTGACCCAGGTGAGGGGGGATAGTTTGAGCATGAGGTAGATGTTAGCGAACACTGCACAGACTGGAAGCAGGGGCACCCAGGGGGTCATGAACCTCAGCCGGGTGCTGTTCTGTGGCTCACGCATGATTAGAAACAGCAGACCAAATCTACAAACATTACAGGGAAATATTAGACCATAGATAGCTCTGATCATTTTGTACAAATGTATGGCTTCATAGTTCATGGCAACCGGCAAATGTGACATAACTTACAGTCAACGAATAGTTGCAGTTGTTATATTACTCCCAGACTTTATACCGTTAATGCCAAATTATTGGCAATCTCGGCAGCATTGATTTATTTATTCGATTAAAAACGGCGCTTTAAGGATAATTAGATTTTTTGACACAACTTTTGAGTGGAAAAATGATTTCTTACGCCAAAAAGAGCATGCGTTGGTTAATTAAATTGGTCCATGTTCGTTGGGCGAAATAATATTGCCAACAATAAGTAGTTAAATTAAAGATGCCAGTTTCAAAATCATTTTCAGTTGCCAATCAAAAAAGCGAATAATGAACTTTTAAAAACATGGCTATTATTAATAAGCATTAAGAGTGCAGTGCTGTAGCGTGTGTCAATTGCAGTGATAAAGATGTTCACCCGATGGCCAGGAAGAGGAGAGCGAGAATGGAGAAGTACCAAGTCCAGCTGGGGGAAAAGACAGTGACCAGATGGAGCAACAGGAAGTCCACGGATATCAACATGGTCAGATTAGCCACCCGGGAACTGCTCTCGGCTGTCGGCACAGCAGTGTTGTCGGGAAACCCGAGATATACCCGAGCCACCATCCACTTCGGCTCAATCATAGCGGCTAACGAGTCGTAACACATGGCCACAGGCCTCGGCAGGAGTCCCCCATCGTCTGCAAAGTCACCCACCAGTCCTTGTTTCTCGTAGTCTCCCCCGGGATCCACAAGGTGCTCCTGGGATCCCCGAAAATCGCTGTTGTGGTATCCTGCAGCTGCCCCGAAGTTGTTCTGCTCTTGTCCAAGTGGGGTTTTTTGGCCTGTTAGGGCTCCGTAGCCCTGGGAACAGGGTAGTTTGCCATTCTGCTGTTCTAACTGGGATGTGTCTTCTTGGAACATGTTCTTCGGCTCATATCTGAAATTTACAGTTGAAAACATAAAACGCGAGTTCAAGCTTGAGTTCACCTGCGCTTGAGAAATAAAGATTCTTAAATGATCAATTGTGTTACATCACATCAACCTGAAACCGTATTATGATACTGGAGAAAGGGCTTTTTTTCCTCCCCCCCCCACCTGCAAATTTGTACATGTAAATTTGTTGACCACATTGTCCGATTCTTATGAAAATTTACATACAGACTAATAAGGCCACGGCAAACATATTTGGTCTTCATACTCAACCTCGTAAAACTACTCGTTACACTAATATATTGGGGGGGGGGCGACGGAAAAAGAGCCGGAGAAAGTGATAAAATACCGTGATGAAAATAAGATGTGAACTTTTCGGGTGGGCATGTTAGCTAGTCGGGAGAGGGCGTGTTATCCCAGGCGTGTTATTACATATCACATCAGCATAGTGTGTGGTGTCTATGTTGTGCATGCTGACCTGAGCAAGAGTACAGAGATGGAGACGAGAGTGTATGCGAGGAGGGTGCCTATGCTCATCATCTCCACCAGTGCCTGCAGGGGGAGCAGCAGGGCCAGAAGGGCAGCACACAGTCCACTTACCAGAGTGGCCACTATGGGCGTGTTAGTGAAGCCACTCACACTGTCAAAGTAACTAAACAACACACAACACTACATATTATACTTAACCATATGCTAGTCCATCTCCTTTCATAGCCTATTGCTTAACTAACTCAAGGGGACATTCGTTACAAGGCGATACAAATGAGTTAGGACCGAAGTGTATAACTCATAGAGTAATTTCGGATAGGGTACACCGTCTGCTCGTCACGCTATCTTATTTTCGGCCGGATAGATTCGTGCAACTTCTTAGTCTAATACCAATCCTAATCTTACTCTTATACTATCTAGTCTCAGGTTGTTTAACTAGTCTCTGCTAGGCTCAATAGATCTAGGGTATACTGGTTTATTGCGGCTGCTGAAGTACTCGGGAGAGTTCAACTAGTTTCTAAGTTAAATTCAAATCTCTCTGGTGCTGAAATTACAAGTAATTCCAGCACTTACAAATAAGTGGGTTGTTAGTTAGATGGATCATGATTGGTTAATATTAAATACTTTACAGTGGTAAAATATCTAATTTATCCAATCATAAAATGTAGTTTAGATCAGGTTCCACCCATCCGGGTTTTGCAGAGTTTTTTAGAATAGTCTTTCTGTAATTCAAAGGATGGATGATGGACGTTGGTGTTTGGCGAACATCATATTTCTTCTGGGTTCTCTTGTTAGAGAAGTTCCAGGTTCGATCGTTGTGTCTTCTCATGACAACGACTGGGTTTTCGCAACAAGCTCAAATCTGATTTCAGAATGGTTGGCTATGTCAGGTTTTTCTGTTTCATTGATGAGAACTTCTTTGTGTTTGATCTTGTCTGGGAATGGCGTGGAGATTGTGCGTGGAGGGGATGCCTGGTTACTCGGATCTGTACGTATACTTGAACATCGAGGTGGTCATTGGTCTAGTTCAATGAAGTCCTTTTCTGCGAAGTCAAGTCGTACTCTAAATCCTTTGAGTTGTGATTGTGGGCGGCATATTGATTGAGGTTGGCCATTCTTTTTCGAGTGTAGTGGGTTCATTTTGTCTTTGGATGTTCGTCTTTGGTGTTGTATGCTGATCTATATATTGCATAATATAATTTACATTTTATAAAACTTTTATTAGTTTAATGTTTTTTAATTATGATTTTGGTTAGTTGTTTTCACAAAAGCTTTTTGTTTTAGTTCAGTTATTTTGAAGAGTTACTCACCCTTGAGTAGCTCTTATTAAAAATAGGAGTGTGTGTCACAAAGCGTGGATGTAGCGCGGTGGGTTAGGCCGGCTATAGAGCATGCTCAGGACGTCCTCTTCTGGTGGGTTAGGCCAGGAGTGGGAGTATGATTGCATGCGGTTTTTGTGAGAGGTCCTGTTATGTGACAACGTTTTATGTTGGGTTTGTTGTGGTTTTTCTTATGTTTTGTTGGTTGTGTCCTTTTTTCAAAAATCAAATTGTTTGTGGTATGGGTTTGTCTTTCGACTTTTTTGTGTTTTATTATCCTTTCAAGTTTATGAATGCGGGATGAGACCATTCGGGGTCCCAAACATAGTCTGATTGTTCTGTGATGGCAGTATCATCGTTTGAGTTTTGGGGTCTAAAATTTTTTCTTGCTTGTGAAATTAAATCAATATTATGTGTGAAATAATCTATTATGAACCATGCCAAAATTTTTTGTAAGTCGTGTTTTGTATGTTGTGAAACTTCATCTTTCGTGAAATTTTCTTTAATTATTTTTAGAAAACTAGAGAGTGGTGTGATTTCATGTCGTACTCTTATGTGTTTAGATGTTTCTGTCGGTGAGACATTTGGGATTGGGATTTCGTTTTCTAATATCGAGATATAACTATATATTATTGCAAAAACTTCATTGGTGAATATGGAGTTTGCTCTTTGTGAGTTATGATATTGTATGCTTTTTATATATTCTGAGAATACTTTTGAAAATTCTAAATCAAGGTCGTCTGTTTGAATTACATATTTGCTGTGATTCTGGTTTGGTGAGCTGAATTCTATGGAGTAGATTCCGTATTGTTGTGTTAAGTTGCATATATCTTTCAAATAGTGATCGATAATTTGTCTTTTGATTTTTACATCTGGGAACTCTGTTTTACATGGACTGATTCCGGGTTCAAACAAATTTAAGAGTAAATTTTTGCAAAATATATGCTGTCCTCTATCAGTGGTTGCATCTACGATAAAGGGGAAGATATCATCATCATCTGGACTTTCTTCACCTGGGGTGTGTGTTGAGCTCATTTTTTCGTTTGATGACTGTTAATATGTAATTATCAATGTGTCTAATTGGTTGATTCCAATTGTATAAATGTACTGGTTTGTGTTTATATTGCTTTTTTATTCTTCTTTTTCCTCTTTTTGATGAATTTGAAGTTGTTTCTGAGTCGGAAAAATATAATTGATCGTGAATGGGGCAATTTTTATCTATAGATTCTTTTAATTTATAAAGTTCGTCTAAACTGCTGGTTTCTGATTCTGAAAATGCGTTGCGGTTTTTGGAAAATCTTTTTCGTGTAATTTGTCTTTGTTTGGTTATTATTTTTCTTTTTAGTGTTTGTCGTTTTGTTCTGATATATCCAACTGTTTGTGTGTGTGGTGTGATTACAAGATCGTATTTTTTGTTATCTATTTCACAATTGTGTAAAACGATTCTTTGTTTATTTCCTAGGTTTTTAAATGACATAAGGTTTAGGATGACGGATGCAAAAGGTTGTTAATGATTTCTATTTTCTTAGACTGTTAGTCCTTACGATTTTTTGGTTAGCCTAACCTGGGTCTATTTGTTCAGGGTTGGGGAGAAAAGTATATCGATTCCGAAGAATGATTTTATACTTTCTCGTGGCTAGTATAAGCTAAGGTGTTAACTTACTTAATCTTACTTAAGGGTAGTGATTGTGTTCAGGGTTGGAGAATAGTAAATCGAACCACAAGGTTCAGGTATAATTAGAACGCGAGTAGTTCGTTAGATACTATTTTAAACTTACTAAGTCTAAGATTTATCCTGGGTCTGGTAAGAGGGGGGATCAAGTGAAGGATGAATAACCGAAGTTCTTCACTGTTTATCCTAATTTGAATGATTAGTTTTGTTCAAAAATTTCTGTTAGTCCTGGGTTTTTAGAAAGGGTTGGATAGTGAATCGACGTTTGAGGTCGTTAGACACTAGCTAAGTGGGTGGGGGAGAACAAAATTGTTCTTTTTGATCCAAGGAGAGGCCTTGATGATCAAATTTTAAATTTAATTAAATAGAAAATGATTTAAGATCCAAGGATGAGCCTTGATGATCTGATTTTAAATTTAAGTGAATTTAAGTTTAAAATGATTTAATTTTGTGTAGAGAAAAGATTTAGTGATTTTATGATATAAGTGAGCTTATGAATGCTGTTATGTTTAGGTGATGAAGCTGGAACAACAGGATGGTTTATAATTACTAACCATTTATTGTCATGCTACTAATTTTTACTTTGATTTTTCAATAAATATTTTTCAAACATGTTTTGTATATTACTGCAGAATTTAGGAAAACGATCTGAGATCTCCTTATCAATCGTTATTGTATTTTAATAATTTGGTTTAGCGCCTGAAATGATTTTGAAGATTGACTTCAAGATTTTATGTTTGCAAATGAAAATCTAAATTCATTGCTAGTAGTACTCTAAATACAAAAGTTTGTGTTGGCTTTTGCCGAACTATCATATAACTATATGGTAAGTTTCTACTTTGTCGTATGTCGTCTCTGGTTCGAGGTCTTCTTGCAATTCCGGGTAGTTCTCTTATCGTTCGGAATATTGGCTTTGATCTATTGAGTCGTAGAGACATTTCGATTAAATTATCGTCGTGTAACATTTTTAAAATGTTTTGTCTAAATTCTAATCTATTTTTGGTTAATTCTAAGCTATTAAGGTCTTGTTCGAGACTTATGGTCGCACCAGATGAGTTAGGACCGAAGTGTATAACTCATAGAGTAATTTCGGATAGGGTACACCGTCTGCTCGTCACGCTATCTTATTTTCGGCCGGATAGATTCGTGCAACTTCTTAGTCTAATACCAATCCTAATTTTACTCTTATACTATCTAGTCTCAGGTTGTTTAACTAGTCTCTGCTAGGCTCAATAGATCTAGGGTATACTGGTTTATTGCGGTTGCTGAAGTCTTCTTGGAGAGTCAACTAATTTCTAAGTTAAATTCAAATCTCTCTGGTGCTGAAATTACAAGTAATTCCAGCACTTACAAATAAGTGGGTTGTTAGTTAGATGGATCATGATTGGTTAATATTAAATACTTTACAGTGGTAAAATATCTAATTTATCCAATCATAAAATGTAGTTTAGATCAGGTTCCACAAACGATCCACCACGGGGAACAACATTTTTTTCTTTATATTCCACTACACGGATCAAATAATACGGGAAAGCCCATCAATGTCTGAAAATCTCTGAAGCATTTTAGCATTTTAATCTCACAAGTTTCACAACTGATTTTAGATGAAACTAATGTACAGTATTATTGAACTGAAAAAAGAAAAACTTATTTTGTGGGTAACGGGGATATTGATTTAAAAAAATAAGTAAATACATGCATCTGAATTTGCATCTGAATTCTCAAATATTTCAATTAACTGAAGTTTGGGGCTAGATAAGCCATCCAAAAAACAGCCACAATGCGTATCGATCTCTGACAAGTGAATAACTATACTATAACTAAAGAGTCTGCTGTGAACATGCCTGAATAGGAGACCGTCGTGGGACATGGCATAGATGATTCTGGCCATGGGGAACTGACTGCCCAGGAGGGAGGCTGTGAGGGAGGAGATGGCCCCGAATGCCACGAAGTACTTGGCCGCATTGGCCCCCCTCATGACGAAGCTGGTGGTGAGGGCACTCTCCGGGTCTATGTCCTGGTAGGGCACCTGCAACCCACACACACACAACACGCAATGCACAACTTCAACTTTTTTAACCTTTTTAGGAAAAAGTCTGGGAAAAAGGAGTGTGGACAACGTTTGTTTGTATGCATGTATATTTGTAAATATAGTAGATACTAATTTCGAAAGGAAGTTCGCTGAAAAACTGCAGTTTCTTTGCCAAACTTTCGATCTTTTTATTAATTGGCATTTTTGACTTTTTTAGTAATTAAAAAATCATGTTTGTTTGTGCAGTTGGATCAGTTTGTAATTGTGTATGCATTTATGTAAATATGCGTGAATACACTAACTTTGAAAGGGATCTAGCGCCGAAAATTGCATTTTTTCTAGCCAAAATTTTTTAAAAAAGTTTGAATCAATATTTTGATCATTTTTGACCAGTATTTTCAAAAAAATTGGCCAAAAAATCTGCCAAAACGTTGGGGGAGGGGCATGAACTATAAGGAAGGAGTAGGGGAGGGGGTTGTTGGTTCTTGTGGGGAGGGGCAAGGTAAAATACAAAAGGGCAAGCCTTGGAGGGATATGGTGGCAAAGGGTAAACATTTTGAAATTTGAAAAAGCTTAGGTTTAGGAATCGAGTAAGCCGTATGATCGTTTCGCAGAATATCTGCATTAATCAGTTGATAAATTCAGAACTTTTTGCAACATTTGGACGACGCGAGACAAAAGTAAACCTGAAAATCCATTTTAAAATCCATTTTTAAATTTAACAAAAACAAAGGATTGCTCTCATTTTTTTGACATTTTATTGTCTGATGGGAATCTATTATATTTTAAATATTTTAAACCATAAAAATCCATTTTAACTGATTTATTTTCTTTTTCTTAGATGTGGGCAAGCTCCTGATTATTGGAAATGGTGAGAACCTTTGTCTTCGGAAGTGTTTTAGTTTTTTTTCATGCAAAATTAGGTACGCAAAATATAATTCGGAATGGGTCGAAAAAATATCAGTCGACATTTGAGCGAAACTATGATTTTCCAAAACATGTTCTCGCTTTGAGGAGAATAACCGGTTTGCAGTTTTTGATTTTTGGTCTAACTTTGAGCGAATAAGGTGAGCGAGCATACTTATTTTGTTTTCAATCAGAATAATTTACCACAAATAATCATCGGAATGGGTCGAGTCATATATCACATTAAAGCCCTTTTAGTTGTAATTTGAATGAAAATTAAAAAAAAATTCCTTTGTTGAAAAAAATCAGATTTTTGAGTTTTAATCTGATTTCGTGCTCGCAAGGCATGGTCTTATTAAAGGAAAAAACTTATCCTCTAAGTAGTGAGAACTTCGCTTTAATAAAAAAAAGAATTTTACCGCTTCATTTAGCGCTTCTTTGGCATTCAAATTTTTTTAAAAAAATTTACTCTGCAAAGAACAATAGAAAAACATAGTAGAGTTTTAAAAAAATTCCGGTTTTGTAAGTGAGTTTTTTTCAAACACAACCGCTTTCGACTATCTGTAACCGACTAATTGTCTTCGCGTTTGTCTAATGAATTTTCGTTTTCAAGATTTTATTAATTTGATTGTTTAAACTGAAGATTGTTGATCTGCATACTGCATAAGAGAACTAGATTCAGGGAATTATTCAAGAGTTAGAGTTCAATCAAAGTCTGATAGAAGTTTGATTTCTACATCCTGCTTGCAACTAAATTGAACGCAATTGTTGGGTGATGTATTACAATCGTGTCTGTACAAAACAGTCCCATGCAAAACAGTCCAATACAAAACAGTCCGAAAAAACATAGCAAAGTACAAAAAAACAGTCCCATACAAAACAGTCCCAAAAATAGTCCAAAAAATTGTCCAAAAAACAGTCCCATTGATCGAAGTGATAATTGTTGCAGAAACTGGTAAGTAAATTTATCTCGTATTAAACACATTTTGATTCCAACTAATCCGGATAACAATAGGTAGTATAGTAGAGAAATTAGAACAACCTAGATAACAGCAGCGGCCACTCAATAAAAGCAATAATATTTGAAACATTAAAAATAACGCAATTTTAGAAAATGGACTCTTTTTTTAATCCACGCAAAAAAAGAGACAGGTTGTTTAATCTGTTTCACTTCCAAACACTTGACAACACTCAAAAGAAACGAAATTCACTATCTATCGATGGAAATCATACTTACAAACAAAAATTCTGAGTTACTGATTTTTGAAGGGTATGCTTATATTAAACACTTGATCACTATGATTAAGTCATATCAACCCAACGATATTATTGGGTTTTTGAAAGGATGTAGTTATAATAATAAATTATAACCAGAGTTTTCTTTTCTTTTTAATTTTCATATTTATTCATATCTAAGCAATAAAATTTTTCCAAGTTAATTAGTTTTCTTGATTTTTCAAAATTGAGCTAGAGTCGATTTGAACCCGGCAAAAATAATGAATACATTCAAGGTGTTGCTTTTTCTTTTCCCTCCGCCCAACCCTCTAAGTTTGAACCCATTGTTGTACCCTAGCTATACCCGTTATCCTATTTACCCGATTTTCAACTTATTTCTGAGCTGATTACCATATAGTTTTTTCAATTCCTTTATAGCTTATGTGTCAAGTGTCAAAAGTACATGGTCCTATGATCAATCGTCCATGCAAGGAATGACCGCCAAAGAATTTTTCCGACATAGAGCCAAAAGGTTCACAGCCCTGTTAGAGTTTGAATCGAAAAAAAGCTGAGATTTGATAAACTGCTATTTAAAGACCAAAGTAGCAAAATTACGAAAACTGTAACAGATCATCTCAAGTCTTCAAAAAATGAATTGCTTCTTCGCAAGGATTTAAGTTTTCGGAAACGACTTTTTAGGCAACGCAAAGCAATTCATCTATTATTTTTTTTGCTTTTACAATGCAATCTAAATTTAAAAAATCGGAAAAAATGGGATTTTTAAGTATTTTCAAGCCAAACTCAAGTAGAATAGCGTTTATGTAACGTTATCTTGGTTTATAAAATCGGAAGATATAACTTCTTCAAAAGTTGCTATTGATTAGCATTTCTGGTTTATACTTGAACGCCCGAAAATCACCCGCACCGACAAAAATGGATTAGGATCGATTTTAGTATGAAAAAAGTACGTTGAATAAATTTAAAACGATTTTAGTATGAAAAAAGTACGTTGATTAAATTTAGATCGATTTTAAAACCTGATTTATGTGGATCAGTTTTTTGAATTCTTTAACATATAAGTTTTTTAAAGGGTATGTTTTTTCGCCGTGTTAGCAAAAAAAAACGATTTTAGTGTGTCGGAAAATCCATCGAAATCGATTTAAATCAATTTTTTAAAGACTTAAATTGATTTAAAGTTTTCAAAAAGATTGATTTAAATCGATTTAAAATCCATTTAAGTTCGTAAAATGTACATGGTTAAACGATTTGGATCGATTTAAAACCGATTTAAAATCAATTTAAATCGACAGGAAACCATTTCTGTCAGTGCGGGCAGGCTACGATTTTCTTTTCTCTCAGCTGAGTTATATCAGTTGTGCAGCCACCTTTTGTAATATATCACACGTTTTGGGAGCGGCAGTAGTCCTTGAAAAATTAATTGCGAATTCTCCCATTTTTCCTGTGCTTTTGCACTGTATTTACAATTTCAACAGTTAGTAGCTGTTTAAGGTTAATTCAGCTGAAATAGAGGTAAACATGTTGCTGCAAAGTAGCTTGTGAGTAAAAATTTATTCCGGAAAAAAGTAATTAGCTTGTTCTGACTGATAATATTTATCTGATTTGTTGTTTCATTCTTTTTTAAATCCACTTTTCTTACCATGAGAGTGATAATGAGTGAGCAGCTCTCATAGGCGACGAAGCAGATGACGAGGGTGAGGACTATGGCCAGGGGGATACTCCGGGAGGGGTTCCGGCTCTCCTCCCCCGTAGTGGCTATGATGTCGAACCCAATGAACGCATAGAAACAGGTGGCCGCACCAGCAAACACCTACACACAACAAACAGGCACCCAAAACTCTTCACCTGGCCAGAAAACAATTTGAAGTATAAGAAGGTTCTGAAAATGAGAAGAAAAAAAATAAAATTTCAGCTACAGAATAAGTTGAGCTAGTTCAAATATTCGGAAAACTTCGCTTTTTGTTTATCTTTGAAAAAAACTGCCTCAAATTTGTTGAGAAATGTGTTGGTTCTATTGCATTTTGTTTTTCCCCATCATAAACAGACAGTGAGGATAATGCCTACCCCAGATGCGCCATAAGGCAGCACCCCCTCCTCCTTCCAGATCTCTGGCTCGACATAGAACAGACCACAGATGACGACGAACACCCAGGCGGCCAAGTTGACTAGATTGAGGGCGTTGTTGAACCAGATGGAGGACTTCACACCTGCTGCGAGGAGGATGGTCATCGCAATCACAATCACAAACGCCACCAGGTCCGGGAAGCCACGGCCTAGCAACACACACACCACATAAAATGCACTACACATACACATACACAGAGAGAAAGAGAGAGAGGGAGAGAGAGAGAGAGATTTTCTAGATGTAGTAGATGTTAATGGGAAGTCCCTGATGTTGGGGATTTATGTCTTTTCCAGTTTTTGGAAAAGATTTGTCAAAAGTATTTGTGTTGGTTTAATGGTGAAGCTAGTTGAAGTTAAGATTACTTATAACGGGATAACGCTTGGTTGCACAGTAGTCATTGCAAAAGAAACACGAAGAAACATTTTTTATCGTCCTTTTATGTTTTTCTTTTCCTTTTTGGTTTTTCCCAAGTTTTGCTATGTTTTGGGCATTGGAGTTGAGCTCCTCGAGTTTTGAATTAAAAGTGAAACTAAGCGACTGGAAGATGAAATGGAACAATTCTTACCCTGCTGCGTGCCTGCACCCAGACTCTGCATGAAGCTACTGATTGCGTGGTGAGAGAGAGAGTCGAAGCAGCTGCTCAGAGCACTGGCCCCAGCTGCAGTGCCTATCATGTACTCTAAGATGAGGTTCCAGCCAATGACGAAGGCGAAGAACTCGCCGACTGTGATGTAGCTGTACATGTAGGCACTGCCAGTCGTCTTGGGAGCACGCACTCCGAACTCAGCATAGCAGATGCCTAACAAAGAACAAATGCAACCTTTGATATTACACTGTTGTCACCATATTCTGACCGGGGTCAAGGTGCTCCTTTTGTGTTTCGATCGTTTTCTACCGAAAAAATGTGTTCGACCCGAGGAAGATATGTTTCGACCGTGCTGCACCCTAACCTCTATTCTTTTTCGGTCGAGCACAGACATGTGCGCGACTTTGAAAGTCGAAACTTAAAGCGAGCACCTCGACCAGGGAGAGGAAGACAAAAATGTCAAAGATTGAAAAATGATTCCTGATATATCAAACAATCATTCTATATTTTAAATAAAGATTCCTTTTTATTGAAACTTGTGTGTTTCATCTACGTCAAAACAATTCATTATTTGTATAATTAGTTTATCTTTGTTGTTTTATGTTCGATTGTGCGTGTGTGTGTGTGTATGTGTGTGTGTGTGTGTGTGTGTGTGTGTGTGTGTGTGTGTGTGTGTGTGTGTTTCTGTGTGTGTACCTGAGAGGAGTGAGGCTATGGCTGCAATGAGGAATGAGAAAATGACTCCTGGACCTGCCATCTGTCTGGCCACCATTCCAGCCACCACATACATCCCAGTGCCCACACAACTGCCCACTCCCAGAGACACCAAGTCCACAGTAGTCAGACATCTAACACACACAATAAACACTCATTCTAAACCTATGTTATCATCATGTATCCAGAAGTAAATATTTCATCCTGTTCGTTCCCCTCCTAATTCAGTCAGCCTTGTTTTGTGCTATCGCTTAGGAAAAGTGATGAGTTTCTTACACTCAAACTACTTTTCGCCACTTAACTTCTTGTTTCTGCCGGGATACTTAAACAAACTCGATCTGTATCAGCATGTGGATTTTGGGTTTCGCGCTAGAATGCGAGTTCTTGTTTTTCTTTCAGTTGAATGAAAAAAGCCTTAAGGACTGTTCTAGCGTTGCCTCTTTTCTGATTGCTCGCTAGACCATGTATAACAAATGGGCATTTCAATTTAGAAAAGAAGCGCGCAAGAGGCATAAAATGCAGATTAGGCCATCACAAATTTGTTTCTGTTTCTCTTCGGAATCCATTAATGTTTCCTCTCTTCACATTTCCATTTATTCCCCCCTGGGATTCCGGCAAATGTCTGGCGCAGCTGTGGCTTAAAAGTACAGCTTCACTGGGAAAAAGAAATGATTTATTTTGGTGCCCAGAAGGAGCAGGAACTGCGGTACTTAATCGAAAAAAAACTCCAAGTTGTACAGAAGTTACACATTAAAAGTGAAATACTTTTTATAACATTAACCCATAAAAGAGAAATCATGATATGTATTTATACTTGTAGTCAGTTACTGTTATATTCATATTTATTGGCACTGTGTCATTTTTTAAATCATACTTTTAGCAAATCCCTCTGAGAAAAGACAGTGTTTTATAATTAGCCTGAAGTAAAATAGGTTGTTTTGTGGAGTGAACACAGAGTCTGTTGTTGGCAGAGTGATTGCCCTGCCCTGTTGTTGTCCGCATGGGTTCTTTCTCTCACTCGGATTAGGTTAAGTGGCTCACAGAGATGGTAAACAAGTGTTTGCTCTGAAAGTATTCACTGGCCTGTTTCATAAGGAAGCACTGACTCCTCTGAAAGTGGTCAGTTGTTGATAAGTGGAAGGATTGTTCTGGTATCTATACCAGTCCACAAGACAAATATGGATGTTTTTCATATATTCTTAACATCAAAACAACTGACAAAAGCACATAAGGTGATGATAAGATAGGAAGATAGATGTGGATTTAGACCCTCAAGGATTTCATTTGACCCCCTCGCCACCAAAATAGTTCTCCCTTTGCTACTATCCTACAACATCTAATGCACTTCAAAATCCGGCTCAAAATACCGATAATTTCAGGGCGAGTCGTTCGCCCAAAAACGCTACTTTTGTCAAATTTTTTCAAAAAATTCCCAACAAAATTTCGAACTGTTGTAGATAAAAATCTGGTTGCTGCGCAGAAAATGAAAACGAATAATGGTCTATAGACTGTTTCAAGTGAGCTGGGAGGGAATTCAATCTGTCCACCCGAAGAACATCAACGAAGAAGGTCCACACAAATAGTATTCCTAGTCCTCTCACCATATTTCGTTTGTGTGGCCTACTCATAATTTTTCTGACTGAATCTAGTTTGATTTATCCGAAATCAGGATCTATTCCATAGTTAACCTCTGCTTGTTTTGAATAAGTAACGCGTGCGAGGGAGGGGTGTTGATGGCAACTGAGAACTGACTTGTTGAATTTGGAGGATGAGGTGAGGGGTGCCTCTTCGGCTACGTCGTTCATCGGCTTCTTGCGCAGCAGTCTCTGTCTCATCATGCGCATGTTGTCCCCACTCAACACAGAGGCCGCCATGTCTACAAAGCAGACAGCTCAGTTGGACGAAAACAAAGAACAAGCACAATGAAACAAACAGATAAAAACCACGAAGAGCCGCCATGTAGTTGTACCAGTTTCTATATCAGCGCATTTAATGAGTGCAACTAGAATATATTGAGTGTTGTAAACAGGGGCGGATTTAGGGGGGGGGGGGGGGGGGGGGGTTGGCGGACGTTCCTTTTCTTCAGGGATTCGACCCCCTGCCGACCCAAAGGGTCGCCCCTTTGGTACCTTTTAAGAAACCCATATCCGGCCCCCTCGAAAAAATCCTACATCCGGCCCTGGTTGTAAAGAAAAATTTTCTCTTAAGAATGAGAAAAAATGTTTTGATCAAGGATAGCAGGTGTCTGTGCCAGTGGTACACAATTTTTTGACCACGTAATGACCTGGAAAAAGAATCTTTAAGAAAAACTATTAAAAGCGGGAAAATTTTTGAAAACGTTTTTCAAAATTGTTCAAGCATTCTTAGTGTAACAATCGAAATTATAATTTGAGCTTCCATTTTCAGCAAAAGTTTAATTATATATGGTGAAACAAAATAAATCATTTGGAAGTGCCTCTTTTTGTGGGCAAACGTGCCCTCTTCCAACAAATAACGTCAGCAAAAGAAATAAAACTGGAACCTGATCTAAACTACATTTTATGATTGGATAAATTAGATATTTTACCAATGTAAAGTATTTAATATTAACCAATCATGATCCATCTAACTAACAATCCACTTATTTGTAAGTGCTGAAATTACTTGTAATTTCAGCACCAGAGAGATTTGAATTTAACTTAGAAATTAGTTGAACTCTCCCGAGTACTTCAGCAGCCGCAATAAACCAGTATACCCTAGATCTATTGAGCCTAGCAGAGACTAGTTAAACAACCTGAGACTAGATAGTATAAGAGTAAGATTAGGATCGGTATTAGACTAAGAAGTTGCACGAATCTATCCGGCCGAAAATAAGATAGCGTGACGAGCAGACGGTGTACCCTATCCGAAATTACTCTATGAGTTATACACTTCGGTCCTAACTCATCTGGTGCGACCATAAGTCTCGAACAAGACCTTAATAGCTTAGCATTAACCAATAATAGATTAGAAATTAGACAAAACATTTACAAAATGTTATACGACAATAATTTAATCGAAATGTCTCTACGACTCAATAGATCAAAGCCAATATTCCGAACGATAACAGAACTACCCGGAATTGGAAGAAGACCTCGAACCAGAGACGACATACGACAAAGCAGAAACTTACCATATAGTTATATGATAGTTCGGCAAAAGCCAGAACAAACTTTTGTATTTAGAATACTACTAGCAATGAATTTAGATTTTCATTTGCAAACATAAAATTTTGAAGTCAATCTTCAAAATCATTTCAGGTGCTAAACAAAATTATTAATATACAATAACGATTGATAAAAAGATCTCAGATCGTTTTCCAAAATTCTGCAGTAATATACAAAACATGTTTGAAAAATATTTATTGAAAAATAAAAATAAAAATTAGTAGCATGACAATAAATGATTAGTAATTATAAATCATCCTGTTGTTCCAGCTTCATCGCCTAAACATAACAGCAATCATAAGCTCACTAACATCATAAAAATACTAAATCTATTCTTTACACAAATTTAAAACATTTTAAACTTAAATTCACTTAATTTTAAAATCAGATCATCAAGGCTTATCCTTGGATCTTAAATCATTTTCTATTTAATTAAATTTAAAACTTGATCATCAAGGCCTATCCTTTGATCAAAAAGAACAACTTTGTTCTCCCCCACCCACTTAAACGAGTGTCTAACGACCTCAAACGTCGATTCACTATCCAACCCTTTCTAAAAACCCAGGACTAATAGAAATTTTTGAACAAAACTAATCATTCAAATTAGGATAAACAGTGAAGAACTTCGGTTATTCATCCTTCACTTGATCCCCCCTCTTACCAGACCCAGGATAAATCTTAAACTTAGTAAGTTTAAAATAGTATGTAACGAACTACTCGCGTTCTAATTATACCTGAACCTTGTGGATCGATTTACTATTCTCCAACCCTGAACACAATCACTACCCTTAAGTAAGATTAAGTAAGTTAACACCTTAGCTTATACTAGCCACGAGAAAGTATAAAATCATTCTTCGGAATCGATATACTTTTCTCCCCAACCCTGAACAAATAGACCCAGGTTAGGCTAACAAAAAAATCGTAAGGACTAACAGTTTAAGCAAATAGAAATCATTTAACAACCTTTTGCATCCGTCATCCTAAACCTTATGTCATTTAAAAACCTAGGAAATAAACAAACAATCGTTTTACACAATTGTGAAATAAATAACAAAAAATACGACCTTGTAATCACACCTCATACACAAACAGTTGGATACATTAGAACAAAACGACAAACATTAAAGAGAAAAATACTAACTAAACAAAGACAAATAACACGAAAAAGATTTTCAAAAAATTGAAACGCATTTTCAGAATCAGAAACCAACAGTTTAGACGAACTTTATAAACTAAAAGAATCAATAGATAAAAATTGCCCAATTCACGATCAATTATATTTCTCTGACTCAGAAACAACTTCAAATTCATCAAAAAGAGGAAAAAGAAGAATAATAAAGCAGTATAAACACAAACCAGTACATTTATACAATTGGAATCAACCAATTAGACACATTGATAATTACATATTAACAGTCATCGAACGAAAAAATGAGCTCAACGCACACCCCAGGTGAAGAAAGTCCAGATGATGATGATATTTTCCCCTTTATCGTAGACGCAACCACTGATAGAGGACAGCATATATTCTGCAAAAATTTACTCTTAAATTTGTTTGAACCCGGAATCAGTCCATGTAAAACAGAGTTCCCAGATGTAAAAATCAAAAGACAAATTATCGATCACTATCTAAAAGATATATGTAACCTAACACAACAATACGGAATCTACTCCATAGAATTCAGCTCACCAAACCAGAATCACAGTAAATATATAATTCAAACAGACGACCTTGATTTAGAATTCTCAAAAATATTCTCAGAATATATAAAAAGCATCCAATATAATAACTCACAAAGAGCAAACTCCATATTCACCAATGAAGTTTTTGCGATAATATATAGTTACATCTCAATATTAGAAAACGAAATCCAGATACCAAATGTCTCACCAACAGAAACATCTAAACATATAAGAGTACGACATGAAATCACACTACTCTCTAGTTTTCTAAATATAATTAAAGAAAATTTCACGAAAGATGAAGTTTCACAACATACAAAACACGACTTACAAAAAATCTTGGCATGGTTCATAATAGATTATTTCACACATAATATTGATTTAATTTCACAAGCAAGAAAAAACTTTAGACCCCAAAACTCTAACGATGATACTGCCATCACAGAACAATCAGACTATGTTTGGGACCCCGAATGGTCTCATCCCGCATTCATAAACTTCCCACAATCAATCTCAAGTCAAGCAATAAGTACGATATCTTATGTAAGAGATTATGTACGAGTAATACCATTAACCATTGATGCAACACCATTAAACTATAATACATTTTTACCCGATATGCAAAATAATAGTTTAAACTCTACAGTCATACACAATGAAAACCTCAATGGAACTAGGAATCTTACTCAACAAGATATCCAGACACCATCACACTTCATAAATGAAGAAATCGTACACACAACAACTACACAACAAAGTATTTCACCAATACGTCCAAACTTAACAACACCAAGAAATACAAATTCTTCACAAACACAGGTAACATTACAATCAACCGTTAAACCTTCGGTTGCCCCAAAATATTCACACATGGATTACCAAACATACAGACCCATGACAATACCGCCAAAAACACGCAAAACGTTCACTAGAAACAACTTTGCAGACCATAATTATAATTACACACATCCATCAAAAACAAATTATCAACCACGAAAAAATTTTAGTAATTATACAAGATCTCAAAACTGGGATAACCCAATGGCACCACCTAATTCAGTAAATTTCCACACAAATTTACATCCTCCACAGGATCGTAGTGAAAACTATCCATTTTTTCAACAAAATAAAAATAAAAAACAAACATCTTATCAAATGGATTACTTATCCTCAGATGATGATTTCTTACAACCAGATATATTTACACCCAATAATCAAGAATATCGTGGACAAGGAATACAGAAACCACATACATATCATAGAATTTTTTCTCCACAACCAATAGATACACAAATTCAACAACCAATTCAACAACAAAACCCAATTAATAAATCTTTTCAACCAATTCAGCAACAAAACCCAATGATTGCAAACTCTTACCAACCAGCACAAATGCAAAATGAAATACCACTCCCATATTATCTTCAACAACACGAAATAACAAGAAATCAACTTTCAAATTTTTCTCAAATGCCAAATGCAGCAGAATCATTACAAATGACGATGAATCCATACCTTATGGGTGGATCATCAATAACATCAAATAAACCTTTAATGGTATTCACAGGAACAGACCCTGAATATTCTGTAGAAGACTATTTAAATGCAGTCACAGCAAATTTGATTTTAAATATAGGACCTGAACCAATTAATACGCCACTACATCAAAACTGGATACATCGACGCACAGCGTTAATACAAACAACTCTAGATGGCGCAGCCCAAAAATGGTTTTCAGTATTGCCTATAGAAATAAAATCAAATTGGAAAAGATTTACACAAGAATTTTCAAAAATGTTTGACTCCGAAAGAAACAAACAACAACAAAGAGTTTTATGTAATGAAATTCGCAGATTACCAAACGAAACCAACAAGCAATTAGCAGTACGAATCGAAACACTAGTTCGAAAAGCATATTCATTAAATACACATGATTATAAAAACACAAAGATGACAGAAATCTTAATGATGACCTTAACACCACAATTAAGGAAAATAGCAATAAAAA